CCAGCAAACAGAACGTATTTTTGTCCAACTTGGGTCTTATTTTCATATCACTGCTCATCTTTCTTATTATTAATAATAACACGTATCACCAGTAGAACAGACAGATTACTAACACTTTAAATATTACACCATTATGTAATAGTTCATAACACACGATCATGTAGCTGTAAGCAGCTATCAGGACATTTCAGTGCTTATTATTGTACATCAGTAATGATAACTTCTACAAACGTAAGCTGTGATTTATTCCATCACCACTCTTCATCTGTTTATTCTGCAGCCTGCACTCATTGGTATCCACAGGAGGAATTATAAATGAACACCTATCTGCTTAGATCTACATCTGTGTGTTACAAACCATGTGTTAAATGTTTATGTGCTGCTTATAAATGCTCAACAGGGAGAATTCAAACATAGTGTCGCCACCAAACTTACCTAAAAGCACAGAGAGATGACGTAGTGCAAACTCATGTACAGTAAATGAAAACAGGGCGGCTGAAAGAGGAACGAACTGAAGTCACAGTCAGGTCATCAGTTAACATAGGACACATGGGACAGGAAATACATTCTGTTCTGTTCGTCCTCAGAAATATTAATTTGATAAACTCTTATTTGTTATCAGACTTTCCACCAAGATTGCTGAAAACAACGCTGAGCTGTGAAATACAGTCATCACATGTACACTCTGGTACGTCTCTGTGAACTGTGGACGAACACCTTAAAAAACGATCAACCACAGAGCACCTGGACACGTTATTACTCATGACCAGAGGCTCAGACATCATCCAGAGGTTTGACTTGATGACTCTTCTGTAAAGATTTGCTGGTTCAGGCAGAATATTTTGGTCTTTTTCTGTTTCATTAAGTCAATTATTCACATTTGTTTTTTGTTTTGACCTTTAAAGATAAATGAAATATGATGGTATCTATCGGGCTAGAGAGAGCAAAGCAAAACTCAAATGTGTGCAACATATCAAAATAATAACATACAGTCGTGACTTGATAATCGACCCTTAACAATCCTAAACCTGCTATCCGACAGGTTTTTAGGAAAAACCAACAGAACCCAGAAAAACAGNATAGACTGACTACCTGTCCAGGTGAACCTGCCTTCACCCTGAGTCAGCTGGGATAGACTCCAGCCCCCCATGACCCTGGTGAGGATGAAGGTGTAGAGATGATGGATGGATGAATGGATGGATGGATGGATGGATGTCTCTAGATTGGCTTTCTTTCAACGGCTAAGCGCTGAGCAGGAAGGGTTACAGAAGCTGTGATGTTGGTCTGTTTGTGACCTGTGACGGTAACTCTGCTTTATTGAATCAGTCCAGTTCTTTGGTCCAGCTGTTAACTGCTGAGTCAGCAGAACAGCAATTTATTTGCTGGCAGTGTCCAATTCTTGCCTTGCTATGGTTCGCTCTGATAAGAAATTTGCTGCATTTGATGACGCCTTAGAAAAACGCTGAATGACTGAGGCCTGTATAGATGCTAATTTACCAGCGGATGCAGCCAGGACAGCTTCTAGTTCAAGTTGTTCTCTTCTCCTTCTCCATAGTTTTAAAGAAAAGCATGCTTAGAGGAACAAGAGGGCAACATGAGCTTCTTCTGTTCAAAGGTTTGCACCAGACATTTGAAGAAACACCGTCTGGATTAATCCCACCATCGTCATCATTAAAGGCTTAATGTGTAGAACACAGTGTCCACCTTCTTACATCAGACATGAATTAAATATCATTTTGCTTTGGATCAGAGAAAACTTTGGATTCGTCAGGTTTCTCTTGTCAACATGCAGCGCTATGACAGGACATATGGTGTGCTATTTAAAATAAACCGAATCGTGCTGTTATTCTCTTTTTCATCAACAAGTAACCGGACATGTTTGGGTTTTTTACTAAAGACCTTTCATCATTTATTTTATCAGGTTTACACTGACAATCATTTCCCCAGATGATTTCAGGATCTCAAGCTTCTTCAAAATGTTTTAAAAAAATCTGGTTCCAGGTGTTTTCCGGACTTGTTCAAGTCAATGATTTGCTTCTTCAGACCTGTGCTGAGCCAGTCAGACTTCTTCAGTCTGATGAGGAGCCATATTTAAATCAGCTCAGAGAAGTCAACAGATGTCACTAGTAATCACTAATGAGAAGTTAAGAGGCCGTAACACAAAGAAAATTAGATTCTGTTCACGTCCAAATGTTTCTCAGAAATACAATGAAGATTAATTTTGGTTTTCTGTGGGTTTTTTCAGTTTTTGTCGTGTCTCTGTTGCAGACGGTGAAAGGAGGGATCTCTGAGACTCGCATTGAAAAGAGAATCGTCATCACCGGAGACACCGAAATCGATCACGACAAGGTGAAAAACATAAGTGATAGAAACAGAGAAGCGTTTTGTTGTTCACACTAACTCATGTCATGACGTCTCCTCCAGAGTTCTGCACTAAGCAGCTGGTTTACTGTGTGTCGGTTCATCTTGTGTATCGCCATAGATTTCTGTGATGTGTTTGTAGGCTCGCCCCGACATGCATCCTATCAAGTAATCTGATCCGCATTCAAGTCATTCTAACTGAACTCCTTAACAGTGTTCTACTTGACCCGCCTGGGTTGTTGTCCCTGGTTCTGCAGGCTTTGGCTCAGGCCATTAAAGAGGCAAAAGAACAGCACCCAGACATGTCTGTTACCAAAGTGGTTGTGCACCAGGAAACAGAGATCACCCCAGAGTAGGACGTACCGATCCTTCTGAAGGTAAGTGTCCCGTCTGAACCCACGTCCACCCACCCCTCATTGTCCACTCTGTGGTCTGACTGGAACTCTGAGACATCACATCTCCAGGCCATGACAAGGCCCAATCCAGAAAAAGTAAAGCTTTATTTAAAAAAATGAAAATAAAAAAAACTATGGAAGAACAAAAAGCAACCCTTTTGTTATATAGACAGCACACAAAACAGAGCAAGAAGCTGTTAAACACAACTTAAAACGTAAATAAAATCAGGGAACGCTCTCCCATGATGCCTCTGAGTCAACTCGCTGCACATTCATTTAAGGCAGAGTTGCTCAAATCATATCAAACATTTAATAGAAGGACTGCCATTAAGACACAAGCTGCACAACATTAGCGTGTGCATCAGGCTGCACCCCCACACCGCCCCAGACCTGAGCAGCATGAAGTATGGTAAATAACGGTGCCCATGTGGTTTTAATTGTGGCTCTGTTTATGTAATGTTGAAGACTTCAGACTGGGATCTGGTGCTGTTTAGCTGACTGGCGGGCTGGTATGTAAACACAGCGGACCTACCTCCCAGTGTGGCGGTACAGGGTGCTGGGGTGGGGGGGGCCTGCCTGCCCCGAGGCCCTCAGTATCGTCTGACAGGCAGAACAGGGAGGCATTATGAGCGAACAGAAAGTGCCAAAGTAGTAAAAACAGTAATACCAGTTGTCTTGTAACGTAGCCTGTGTAATCCTCCCCACAGGAGACCAGCGATACAGGACGGCATTTGTTGGCAGATTTAGTAGAAGTATGTGTTTGAAATAAAGTTGGTGCACCGGAGCTGTTGTAAAGAAAGCACAAGTTGGTGGAGTTTACTGCAGCAGCTGAGTACAAGCAGGAGACTCTACCTCCTCCTATGTTTAATACCCTCCTCTGTTTAAAGTGGCTTTTGGGTGTTTGCGTCATAAAACTTTAAAATCAAAGCTGACTGCAAGTGCAAATGTAGAATTAGAAAAGTGCGTCTGAAGCTAGCTGTGAAACCGACTTTTCTGTTTTAATCTTTCGGGAGGAACTTCTTGTCTGGGTGGAAGGCTGCACTCAGCCTATCAGACAGCACTGAGGAGTTAAATACCCCAACGGACCTCTGCTTTGCTGGAGTAATAAATCAGTTTCAGTGTGTTTACATCAGAGTGAAGTCTGAGAAGTCTTCCTTCAGTCCCAAACGCTGTGTCCTTTATTTGAGTTAACGTCTTCTGTAGTCAACCTCAGCAGCACTGCCGTCTTTTACATGCAGGAATGTTTCCTTGACATTAAAACTGAAGGTTTAAACTGAATATTTAATATTTGTTAGACTTAAAATGACTTGCTTGTTTTTTTGGGGGGGAAAAAAAATGTGCCTAAGAAGACTTGAAAAGGTCGTTTCTGTCAAGTGACTATAAAGTTTAGCATTAGGATGAGAGCACTGGGTTTTAATTATTCATATATTTGCAAAGAATCCAAAAACATGTTATTAGTAGTGATGCACGATATTAAGATTTCTGATATCACCGATAACCAATATCACCGATGTCAATGTTCAATTTTTGTTTACACTGAAAACTGAGTATAAATAAGCACTGTGAGAAAACTATTCAAAAGAAGCCCACGTACGTCTTTATTATGTAAAAAAAAGTAAAACCTATTTAAACATATTTAACGTTCAGTCCAGTCGTGCATCCCTAGTTATTAGTTTATTGTTTTAAGTTATTGGATGTGAACTGATAATAGCAGGTACATCCATGTAAAATTTAATATAGAATTTGAAATTGAGTCCAAAGGATGAAGGAGTTTGAATATTTTCTTAAACACGACGACGTCACACGCAGCGAGCGTGCTCAGTGTTTACGGAAGTAAACATGGATGGTAACGGTGGAGCGTATCTGCCACTCCCCCGCCGCCACCGATGGTGGAAACAGAAGTGTGACCTCTAACTAACTAGCATCAGCAGCCAAGTACTGCCTGTGTGTTCTGGACACTTCCACCCCGTCAGAGCGCTGCCCCGGGGTGGAAGTGGCCAGAACGTGCACAAGCGCACCGGTCAGTTAGGCTGAAGTCCAGCGATGCATAGTGTTCTAACAATACACTAGTTATTATAACAACTATGAACAATAGTTAACAACTAATGAGCCTTCCAGCATCAAGCCCTCCTTGTATCTGGACCTCCGTCTTGATAATCCGACAGCCTTGCTATCCGACATAACAGAAGGTTTTACATTTAGTGTCGAGTTATCGAGTCACGACTGTAGCTGCAACACAGAGCTCACTAGGCCATGTGAGGTTGTGTGTCCTGTGCCAGAGGGTTCAGACAGACAGACAGAAAGACAAGTATAACTTTATCATACATGACACCAGGAGTGATGGTCAAGCCTGAGAAAATATGATCCAAGTTGTAATCAACCAGAATGACCCTTTAACTACCATTGTTTTGTACACACATTAAACCAACAATGACATTATTGTGCATAAGGATTAAGATGTAACATACTGTACATCACTGCCATGCATTGCATTTCAACTGTGGGACCTTGGTAAGAAAAAACAAGTCCCAAATCATATAGCAGTTGCATTTGTGAAGAGCTGTCAGCACTTAATGGGCTCAGGAGTCCAGGTAGTTGGTTCAAAATTGATTGCACAGTGAATTTGATGCCCTTCTCTTCTACCAGTCCTTCTCTCCTTCGCTGGGTTGGACACACTGCATCATGGCAACAGACAAACCCACTTTGGTAAGATACAAGCTGATTTTTGCTGCCAACCCAAACTGCAGAAGTAAACAATCTGCCAAATGGCGTCGCTCAGCAGTGACAGTGTCGGGGATGCATATTGTTCTTGTCCTTAAGTTGTAGAAAACATTCAGCCATGCAAAGACGACAACCTGTCTGTCAGTATTCCACTCAAGATTGAGAAAGGGCCCAAGTTTTGGAAGATCTTTCTGATATAACATCATACTCCAAATAGTTCGAACACAAAGCAGTCTTAGAATCCAGAAAGGACATCATTATTCCTCGATGTTTGTATCCTCCAGACTGTGAAGCTCCAGCAGCCATCACTGGAAAGGCCCAGAGCCAAAACTCTTGTCGAAGTGAGAGCACTGCTGCTCCAACTGGTCCAGCAGTTTGTCCACTGAGTCCTCTCTGTTCTCTAGCTTCAGGTATCGCCTCCCGCTGCCCAGGTCTAGCCGAGGCCAGCTCTGGTGGGTCTGCTCCTCCACAGTGTCGGCGACCTGCCCGGGGATGTTCATGCAGACCTGTGAGCCGGCCTCTCTGCTAGTGATCACCAGCTGATTGATCTGATCCTTCTCTCTGGATGTCAGGAGTCCTTCCTCCAGCCTCACCCCCACTGGGGCTTTGTAAGGGTTAGTCCTATAACTCATACTGTGGCAGCGCCTTGGCTGGGCGGCACGGACGTCCACCTCGTCCAGTCCAAGGGTGGACATGGAGCTGGCAGACACCAGGCAGACGTTGAGCTTGACCAGCGGGGGAGCCTGTGTGTTGAAGCTGCCACCACATACAGCACTCGACTGCGTGTTACAGTCCGTCTGGCTGGAATTAGATGATTTAGAGCACGATGAGGGGAGTGAAGGTGGACGCTCTGACTCCTGGTGGTGGAGGGCTTCTGTCTGGAGGACAGCTTGCTGGTAGATGCCCTCCACGCTGTCCTCCTGGTCTCTGGTGTACCTGGTCTGGAGCAGGGGTTCAGAGCTGGCCAGCGGCTGCAGACAGAGGATGTTGAGATGTGCGGCTGGCAGACTGCTCACCCACTGGTAGTGTTTGGCCATCGAGTTTGCTGCTGCTATTTCTTTCAGGTCTGCTGAGGGCACAGCTGCAGACACGGAGCAGATAACGCTGCGCATCTGAGCCAGCAGCATCTGAGTTTCTCTGTCCCTGTTCTCATACAGAACGGTGTTGGCGCATATGAGGATGAAGAGTCCCACCCCCATGATGACGGGCCCCAGCAGCTTCATCCGGTCGCTGTGGATGAGGCTGGCGGTGGACAGGAAGCCCTTAGCGCCCAAGCTCCAGCCAGAAGTCTGCTTCTCAGAGATGCTCTCCCCCTCTGCAGCTCCCAGGATGGCCGACCTCGATATCCGATAGGGCCAGTACCCCGCAACAGCCAGAGCGGTACCGACAACCACCACGACAACCCCGAGCACCAGGAAGGCTCCGGGTGTGGAGCGGATGCGAAGCTTGCCTTGGATCACTCCGTCCTTTTTCTTTCTCCCTCGAAAGGTGAAGCGAGTCTTTTGTCGGCATGAAGGCGACGTCGGTGCAACTCCTCTGGACTTCTTGGTCTTCATGGTGCAGATGACTCGAGAGCTTTCGCCGCTAGTCACGACCTGTCAGAGGACTTTTAATAGTGAGAAGCGTTAGTGAAGCTTTAACGGTTTGTCTGAATGTTGCATCCATTCATTTAAACGTATCAGAGCAGAAGCATGTTCAGCACACAGTAAACATTCAGTCTGCTGGTAGAGGAACTGTATGAGCCTGTTTCTAGTGGTGGAAAATACATCAGTTAGATTTTCAACTTCAGCCTGACAGATGGTGCAGAAAATGTGTTTTATTTTACATTTATTCTAACCAGAGTAGTAACACCTCTACCTCACCTTGCTCTCATTATCACACATCTACTGAATAGGCTAGAATAGGTCAGTATAATGTAAAACATGCTATCACTGTATAAAGATGCTAAACATATCAGCTTGTGTGAAGCTGAATTCTGAAGGAAGCTGAATGCAGAGCCACTTAGCATAGCCTCTGCAGCACACTGGCATACAGTCATGCAGGAGGTTTGCTGTGCATACAAAAACACTTCACATATGAAATCCATTTAAACAGTCAGTTCACATAACATGCCTGGAGTCCAGACATATACAGCCGTGGTCACCTATTAAAGGCTGCTCATCTACCATCTGCTGTTATTTTTCAATCACCATCAAAAACAATCAAACTCCTCAACCTGCTGCAAACCTGTATCTGCTGGTAAATTCATTAAGGTACAAACAGAAGTAGAGAAACACGTGCTGCCTCCCACATGGCCATTAACAGAAGGGAGGGAAATGGAAAAACACCTTCAGATGCACTAAGAATGTAAAACGTTCCCACTGTCCAAACTGTCAACCTCCACAACCTGTTTCTGCCTTTTCCTTTTGTCAATATAGAGATGGAGCCTGAACTCATCACGTCTCATTAAAGATCTTTGGTTGTCTGGGTCTGATGGAGGATCACTCTCTCTGACATACTTCCATAATGTTCGGAAACTTCACAGATCGAACAATTATTCAATCAATAAAACGATATTTGGTGGGATGCTCAAAAATGACTATAATAGGAAATGATGTCTGTAGACATCCGGGTCTAGGTAATCCTACGAGCTTCAGTAGAAATCAACTGGACTTCTCTGATGATGCATCTCAGTATTTGGATCTTTTTTGTTTATTTCTGAATTCAGATCTCAGGCTGATGTCATCCAGGTACAGTTGTGCAGAGCATGCTGAGAAGCGCTGCATTATTCCTACAGGAGGATGGTATTTGTGTGTCCCTTTCCTTCTGGATTATGACTGCAGCATCACAAACATGTCCACCGGAGGAGAGATGATTCAGAGGACCAGCTCTGACACTAGTTAGTGTTGCTGAGGGTGTGATATGAGGCTGTAAATGCATGTTCACAAGTCTGTGATCACATGAAATCACACAGAAATCATCAGACATCCAAAAGCTTTTCCTCCTCATTGTCCTGCCTGACACAAGCAGGATGCATTCATCCTGTATGTCTGCTGGTCTAGAGCCAGTCATCCCCTGGAAGCCACAAGTTGTGCTTGGCTCATGATGGGAATGAAGAAGGTGCGCGGACATGACACCGAGACAACCTTGTGGGTGTGGAGGGCTGAAGCCTGCCTCTGAAAGGATTCTGTGATGCGAACACTCCTCAAGCCCAGACAGCCAGAACATGAAGCTGCTCAAATCCCCTCAGAGAAAAAAATTACATGTGAAAAATGAATGCAGTCGATTAGAACGGATCGTCTTTACCTTGACGGTGGACGGACATGGACTGCCGAACCGAGCCGAGCCGAGCCGGACTGTCTCTCTGCTGTGTGAGGCTACAGACAGACAGTCTGACCGAACTGCTGCATACCAGCACCACAACACAAAGCAGCTCGCCATGCACACGACTCACAGCCAGAGTTGGTTCCGCTGACTGCGGTACGGACCGGCTGCTGGTGGACAACCCGAGCAGAACCTCTCAGAGTCTAAAAGTCTACATGTAGGATTTAAATCCAGACATTCAGTAGCAGCTCACTTCTGAAAACTTGCCTGCATTTCCCGGATCCTGTTGCAGCATAGTTCCAGGACGCGAACCATCCAGAGCGTTTGGGACGAACCCTGTCCATGCTCCAGGCTGCTCAGCCCGACCGCTGACCCGGACACGTCCACAGCAGGAGGAGGACTGGACCAGAACAGGGCTCTGTCTCCGCCAAGTCCTACGGACAGAAAGCTCATCGGAGCCAGCTCAGCCCGACCCCTCCTCTGGGCTGCCCGCGGACTCTGAGCAGCTCCGTGAAGTGAGCAGCAGCACGCGGAGGCTTTTCAAAATAAAGGAGGATGCGCACCTGGACGCCTACCCAGCAACCTG